GGTCGCTGATAGCTATCCATATAGCGCGACCTAGCGACATCCGGGTACACTCCGCTCTGGAGCTGGTGAATAAGGAAGGTACAGAAATTGCCGTAGGTGACCTTCTCGGCCGGTAGGTGACGTATGTGTCGCTTCCACTCATCCTCGATATTAAGGGCAACGTGCTTAAGCGCCCGCGTGACCTTGCGCTCATCGACCTTGTACCAGTCCGGATATTTATCGAAGTGTCGCTCTAGACCCATAGAGAAGTTCTTGAACTCTCCCAGAGCTCGTCCGTTGTATACCGGCACATTGGGCACCGGTGGGGCGTGGACGGATGATTCAGGATGAAAAGATCGGGCGGACGGTTGCAGACTGGAACGGGATTCAGACTTGACAACCGTTTGGGCGGCGGGGGACCTGGTAGCTGCGGCGAGGGCTCGCAATTGCTCAAGGTTCAAACCGGAGGAGAGGTTTACGGGTTTGGACGAAGGCTTCGGTTCGGACGGCTTAGCCTCGGACGGACGACGATCAGCAGCTTGAGTCACAGGAGCTGGGGCGGTAATCTGCTCCGATCGGGCAGCAACAACCTTCTTTTGGCCTCCATCAATACCAGCCTTGTTGTTCTGCTTCGAATCGGCTCTAGATGGAGTCGAAGCAGGGGTAGCCGGGGGAAGTTCCAAGGTGGTCGCGGCCAGGAGTCGAGTGCGAGCCAATTCCAATTCTCTCTCCTCCTCTGCAACCTTTTGTTTGATATCAATGAGCTCTCGCTGCTTCTTCAGTCGGGATAATTGAGCTTGAGCTTGACGGATTTCCGCCTCGAGATCATCGGCAGAGCCTGTCGGCTCTGCAGGCTTAGTGTCGGTGTTTTCGAACATCTCATTCAGACTGTCCCATCGCTCTTGAATTCGATGAATGGTGGATTCAGAGCCAGGTTTCTTGTCTGGCTCTGACATGGTGGTTTTTTTTTAATCCTTGCGCGTTGCAGATAAGATAGTGTGCGGAGAAAGAAAGTTCCGAGTCCGTGAAGAAACTCACGGTGCCTAAGGCAGCAATCGTTTCAGAGCGAATAAAGTGATGAATGGCAATCTGAGGTGTTTCTCCAGGGCTCTGACTTCACAGATCTGGAAGCCCAAAGGGGTGATGAGATGAGTGGTTGTCAACGGCTACATGCACCCGGACAACAAGTGCTCCTCAATCTAGTATGGGCACAACATCCTGGTATCTTTTCGCTTGTTATAGAGGGATATTCCCCAATTGCCTATGAATCTCTGAAGACAAACCATGCAAATTGAGTCATAAAGTCCGTCCTATGGGCCACTGCCGCTATACTATATATAGAAGTCAAGAGAAGCCGAACAATGATGGGATAACATAGGTATTATTCACTCAAAGATTAGTTATTATAGTAGTATACAGTAAAATTGATCCATCCACGCAACCCCAAGCTTTTTATTTACCCGGTGACCCAAGCAGGCACAAGAACTTCTCATCCGTCGAGGTCAGCACGTTCTTGACCAAGTGCCAGACATTCAAATCATAGGCCTCGCCAATGTGGCCAACAGGATCCAATGGGCAAGTATCCTGGATCCAGCGATTCGTCACGCCTTCCTCGTGGACGAACGATGTCGACGGCGGAGTAACCAGCTCATCGTATTTGGACGCAATGATAGTGACACTGTTACCAGGCTGCACAATAGGGGTACCGTCATTCAATCGGTTGATGGCTGGGCCATCGGGGCCGAGATCGTTGCAAGCAGGGCAGCCGACGGTATTGAGCACTTCGGCCACGACTTCGCGCGACTGATTGCCGAACGTGTACGCGAGGTTGTAAATGCTGGCAAATGTAGTGGCATGGGTAGGCGGTGCGATAGATGCGATCTTGTCGACCAGGTGGGCGACACCCTCGAACTTGGGCACGTAGAGAGATTGGAAAGCACCCTCGGAGTGGCCGACTAGGTCGACTTTGCTTTTGCCGGTCTTTTGCACGACTTCCTTGATGTATGCGGCAATTTCGGGAGCGCTCTCGTTGATTGCCTTCAAACCGCCAAGCAATGGGAAGCCATCGTATGCGCCATAGGTTTGGGCATATGTGCAAAACCCTTGGGTTTGCAGCCAGTACTGCATGTAGTTCAGATCCTCATAATATGTCGCTCCAAGACCATGCAGGAGGACAACTGGGTTGTAGGAGCTTTGGCAGGAGAAATCGTTGATTCCTGTTGCGACGACTGTAGTAGTCGCGAGGGCAGAGAGCGCCAACTTGGTGAATGAAGGCATTTTGTATGACAGGTGTGGTATCTAGCATGGGGCCGGGCCGCATGCTGTTTATAAGGGATTCTGCAGGTACGCAGATCTCCTTTTTTTCTTCATCTCCATCGAACTATCGATTGTTGATCGATTATATCGCCCTGTGAGTGGTCGATGCTGCCGATCACTGGTGGAGCCAGGGCGAATGCGATGTAGTTCCATCGGAAACATCCAATCAGAGTCAGAATGGTAAATGAGCTTTGGATACATCATTTCGGCTGAGATTCATATATTGTGATCTGTTCAAATGTTTTATTACCGCGGCAATATAGCCGGAAGGTGCGGAGCACAGCCCCTATACTATTCAATGGTAAGCAGAACAATGCCCTTATGCCCATGTAGGCATCGGGACTCATTCAAATGACAGCTGCGCCTCGGCGCAATACTTATTTCGAAACAGCTGGACCACACAACCCTAATATAGACTAATTAAATCGTGGCTACGGAACATCACGTCTATGGAGAGTATTTGCGTCCACTCTACGGACTACCCGATTCAGTGACGAGGCTTCTTTGGTAGATAACTCTGGCATGGAACTGCCCCAAAGCCCAAGAGCATGCCGCTTCTCAACGAGTTGCAGCACTTCAATCATAAAATGGCGCTCTGGACCTCCGTCTGGGAATGCTTCCCACGCTACTCGAGTGGGGAATGCAAGACGATTGATCATGTTGCCCGGCGCAGTGAGGATATAAAATTCCAATGAGCGGCAGATCCCGCAACCCAAGTCATACTGTTCCATGGGCGAGACGCGATCCTCTGGCCGAGTGTCGATCGAGGACAGAATCAATCGCACGGCGTAGTATATACACATAGTTTGTGCGAGTAGCAGGTTTGGATATGTGAATTTTGTTGGGATGAAAGTAGCCCCGGTGCGGAGGTCGCGGCGTTGGAAGATTGGGAATCCCTGGTCGCCCTTTTGTTCGGCTTCCTGCGGTGGCCCGTCAGGGTATGCGACAACCCACTCTTGGTGCCATTGATAGAAACGGGCTGTAAGCTCGCGTATTCCATTCCAAAGCGTAGACTGTTTGATAGCCATCTCTTGTGCGCCCATGACAGATGTGATTTGGGCTTCTTTAAAGGCATCTGATACTGCTAGTAAACCCGGGACCTCGGTAGCCAGGTCAAGTAGATGGTGCAGAATATCTTTTTGACTCGTTCCTGCTGACCACGGAATGGTCTTCCACTCTTCACGGGCCAGGAACGAGGGTTGTCGAGCTGCCAGAGCACCGCCAATCTAAGCCATTAGAATTAGAGGAGGAAATTACGAAAGGTCTGTGATCTTACCCAATATGGACGGAGTTCGGTGAACAAAAGATGTTCAACTCCATACATGTGATTTTCTGGTCCACGATGTTCAAATAGACGCACTGCTCCTCGGACGTGAGCAAGGACACCACTCTGAGTAGTCCGTTCAACGCTCTGCTGTAGTTAGTATTGACTAGGGAGAAAAAGTGTTTTATCAAACCAACCTCGAAAGCCAGCAAGAGAGTTACGGTCACCAGCGTTGATTCTGCTTTGCATTTTTCAGGATCCACCAGCGCATCCTGCAATGCACGTAGCACGCGGGGGTATAGTCGGAATCCGGACGCCTCGATCTGCTTGTTCTGCACAGAACGACCAAAGAATGCCACCGAGACGGCCTCGAACGCGTCTGTCATGAGTGGCGAGAACATTCGAATCCCAGCCGCAGCCCGCAATGCACCCGCTCGTCCAGATTTCATATCCACTTCTGGGCTAAATGCATCCACGAATCTCTCGACAAACACATCCACTGCGGGTCTTTGCATGCTCATGACCGATATCGTGCCAGATGAGTCAGACCCACTGCTCTGTGACATTCGTTCAAAGTCGCTGTCATCGTCTTCCTCACTTCGCAGATTATTGAAGTCTTCGACCGGGGAATTAAGTAACCCGCGATTCCGAACCGGGAGTGACGAATGTCGCGAAGGATCATCGTAGGATTCGTACGCTGAGGCTGTCAGCACGGGTAGCTTTCTAGCAATCGTTATACCACATAACATACCTTCCCTGCCTTCCCATGGTCCAACAGGGACCAAACCCTTCTTCAGGCCGACATGTGCATTCCGAACATCGCGAATAAGATTATCGACTAGCGGGCTTGGTGCAGAGCGAATAGACTCAAATAAGTTCTCGAGCTGGTCCAGGCGCTGGAGATCCTGGGCCCCAGATCCTGCACAGGCATCAGCGATTTGTTCTCCATCCACATGAGTTTGCCACACGCTAGAGAAAAGAGTGAGTGGGCGGGGCTTGCAAATGTACCATTATGTTTGTCGTCTATTCTCCCCCTCAGCTCGCGGATCTCCGCCCGTAAGTTCCGAATCTCTTCCGCCTGACTGATGGGGCCAGCTTCTTCGTCGGGGACATGCTCATACACGCATTTGGAGGGGTAGCCATGGGCACAGCAGGCGTGGCAGGGCTTGACTCGGTCACACTAACAGCAGGATCCACGTTAGCCTTGCGTGATGCGTTACGACCAGTGGGACGCATCAAATGGGTACGGGAGCGTCCCGACCCCTGGGGCGATCTGAGCACGATGACGGGGGTAAACGGACCTTGACTTTCCGGAGTCGGCAGACTTTACAGGACCGCGACTGGCGGTTCGGAGCCTTCCTGACTCGTGAGTCGGGGACAGGTTGTTGCGTACCACCGATCATAGGGGCAAGGGAAGCTCAGGGATGAAGGGGAGGGTTCCTCATCCCGAGCCAACGACACAGCAGGATTTAGGCGAGCCAGATTTCCGACGTGGGAGTCCGAGCTCGTCCGAGATCTGCTTGCTCTCGAAATGGGCATTGGCACTGGTTAGTTCCACACTAGTCGACGCCTCTGGAGGTTTTGATACGTGCGTGGAGGTCAGGAGGTGGAGTGACTCCGCCATTCTGACTGGGCCCGAACGGAGTGGTTTTGATTGGATGTTGGCATTGCCCGTGGATAAGTTCTGGCAGGACACTGTCATGGATTGAAGAATTGAGACAAGGCCAGTCAAAATTCATAAACTGCAGGCTCAAGATTGTAAATTGTAGGATAATCTATACGATATTGTAAATGTTTTGTGAATGCAGAGTTGGTAAAGATCACCGAGGTTGATGGATTTAATGAGTGTCACGTGCAGCGCCTCCCAACTCATTCAGACCTTCTGCTTTCAATTTTGTTTCATTAGCATCTCAATATATGCATCTCATTCTTTTGCATGCCTACAAGTACGTTGCAAACCTCACAAGTACCCATTTCTTGGCCTATGTCTGTAGGCCAGTTATTGACTAGGTATGTTGTATATAGTTAGCGAACCCCTCGAAAGACATGAAAAAAGACACCCCGAAAGAGATGAATTTGATATTCCCGTCACTTTATCTTTATCTAGTCTGTCAGATTTCAATCTCCAGTCACTCTTTCAATCTACTCAAATGGTGTATACGTTAATACCAAGATACTACATGGAGAAGAAGAAAACCAGGAAAGCTTCCATACACTCAAAGTATAGGTGCTTCATGTGAAAATACACATCCAGTCTCCGCGATGGGCAAGAAGTATCAGATGTCCGCAAAATGACACATATAACACTCATCGTGTTCCTTGCCATCCCATAAGAAGCTCGCCTTGGCATGATTGTGGGCACCCTTCGCACACCACTTCCAGTCCCGAATACAAAACAAACAGATATGCAGTCCCGCCATTGGCCATGGGCGAAGTTTCTCACAATGCATACAGCCAAAGAATTCGGGACGTTGGTTAGGACCTACGCTGATTTCACTTTGCTGCTCATATTCGGGCTCACTTGAAAGTGACTCTAGGTCTTCATCTCCCCACTGGATACCAGCTTGTGCGGTCTCCTTGTCTTCCTCTGGCTTTGTGGTGGTTCCCATCATATTCTTGGTGGTGGTAGAAATGGTGATGACAGTGGTTGTTGTTGTGCTTTGCGCGGAACTTTCGATAACGGGTGGTGCAACTGTGACCCAACTGTGCTGGCTAGGATCTGCGTGCGAACCTGTCGCTTGGTCATGTACGGTGGTTGTCGGTGCAGCACTGGTGCCTTCAGAGGTAAGTCCCGTCTGCGAGTTGCTGACGTCGGGAATAGTTCGGGGTGCTGGCTTAGGGAGATAATACGGCCGAGATCGACCCCTGTTGCCTTGCGTGTTTCCTTGCGCCCTTTTGAATCGTGATCTCTGCTTTTTTTAGTCTCTGGACCTGATAAGTGAGTGGAATTATTTGCCCATCTAGGCATATGATATACCCACATTCCGGTACTTCGTGCGGCAATCCTCACACAGTTTGTAGAACTCCTTCGCTGCACCTTCAGATGCCCGAAATGCATCCTTCGGCCTGTCTTTATTGCAGGTGTGACACAACCTGATTTCTTCGGCCATGGTTGGATGCGGTAATTCTGCAAGTAGTAAAGTCTCAAGTTTGCAAGGGGAAATAGGGTGTCGTTGAGGCAGTAAGTAGTAATGTGGGTTTACGCAAAAGGAAAGAAGAACTTGCCTTTGATTGAAGTTATATATATGGACCAGTAGAATGCCCGCGCGTTACGCCGCTGTTCAATATAGCACAACAGGTTCAGAGGGAGAAAGAGAAAGGTCGCCATTCAAATGCTAACTTCTAAGTAAAGTTTATATGACAGTCACATGTAGCTTATATTTCGCTAGCTAAGTGAGGGGGGTATATAAATAAAATGAAGCAAAATCCATAGCGCTATAACAAATGTTTCAACGACACTCAAACTTCCGAACAGGTCGTGGCAAGCTGGTATTATGAATGTGAATTGGACTTTTACATCTCACTGATCAACTGAAAACAAACAATTTTTGCAATATTCCCTTTCTTGCTAGCGCGTTCCATTTCACAAAGCGCTTGGTCAAGAGATTCCATATCCCACGCATTCGGATTTGATATTTGATTCGGTGCGACTTCTTCATGCTCCCAGGGCTCATCGGCGCCCGGTAAGATGGGTAGTGTTGTAGGTAATTTTGCATTTTCGATCAGGTCGACTCGGTGTAGAAGATCATCATGCACGGCACTGGATACCACTTTTTGCATTGTGATGCCGGCAATGACATGGCGTAGATCGGGCTCAGCAGCGTGGGCCTCTTTTCGAATCTTCTTTAGTGAGAGCTCGTAGAGTCGATATGGTAGAACTTCAGAGTCAATGGTAGGGTTGCGACTTGGGGCTGGACTGCCAACAAGAGTAACGCGAGGATTTGGTAGTTGGCGTTGTCGCCGAACTTGAGGGATGTTTCTGGCGATGAGCCTGGTGCATTGTGCTGCGGACATTGTGAATGGAGGTATCAATTGAATTGTTGAATTGGAGATCTTGGACGATGTGTTGAAGAGAAGAATAAATATATGCTCGCCAGTCAACAATTGCAATTCACGAAATGATTACAACGTCACCTGGCTTACTTGCAAATCATGCCACTCCGTCGTGAAGTGCCAATGGAGGAAATCGGGATATTTGGCGCGGCATCTTGGGGGGTTGGGTGGCGCAAGTGTCATGCCACCGATCTTCAACCTCACTCTACATCATCGTCTTTTTGTTTAAGAAGAATCAATTGCCAGCTTGTGAAGGTTAGAATTGGGGGAAACTATTTTATATGAGTTCCCCGTGGAGAATGGTAGACGCCAATATACACATCGGGTGGTGTCTCCGAGATACCTATGGACTACAGAAAGAAGAATATGTGGACATATATGGACATATCTCCAGAGCGATATCTTTTTTATATATGCATCTCTCATGGAGATTCCCTTTTTCATGGATTCCCCTTTTCATGGATGCTCAATGCTGTCCATGTGTCGGGAAGGGAGCCGATGGATATTCCATAGGTATCACCGCTAGAATCAAAGAAATGCAATATCCACTGGGGTCATCGGAGCAATTGAAGGCGTGCTAGCTCCATGTCTCCGAATAATCAAGCGAAATATATCTTGTTGGCGCCCAGGATCCCCATCTTCAAGATCGGAAGGGGATGCCGATGCATACTTCTACCCCACCATGAAATCATGAAGACTAATACAAACCTTTATCGCAATGAGTCATCTTCGCATGGCTGAGATTCTGAATATTCTGTTGACTTGTTGAGATCGGTGCATTGCCTTTCATTTCTGCTGCTTCCTTTACAGTCCAAAGGTCTCAGCTCAGTATCGTCACTCGTGATCATCTGTCGAGGCCCAAAAATAACATCATGCAAAAGTCTGCCACCGCATCTGTGCAAAATCCAATTCAAGAGCCATGGCAATCGGCTGCGACAAGCGTTTCAGAATATCCCACTAGTTATCCCACTGGTCACAATGCAAACTTCGACGAAGAAGCTCCCCGGTCGGCATTTTCCATAGTCGAACCGCCGGCCGAGCTATCCACACTCACAACTCATCTGACCGGTCATAGTACCGACGACAAATTCCCAGATGGAGGGTTGCAAGCGTGGTGTGTTGTGGCAGGTTCATTCTTTCTCTTGATGAGTACATTCGGTGTGATGAACACGACGGGAATCCTGCAAAATTACTTCGCTTCCCATCAGCTGGCCAGCTATTCGCCGAGTGCAGTCGGCTGGATTCCGGGACTGTTCACCTTCTTTGGTTTGAGTGTTTCTGTACAGGTTGGGCCGATGTTTGATCGATATGGACCCAGGGGCATTCTTATAGCTGGCACTCTATGCTATGTGACTGGCCTTGTTCTTCTCGCCGAAAGCCATCTTTACTGGCACTTTGTTCTTACCCTTGGTGTTCTTTCTGGGACCGGTGCTGCCCTCTTGAGCACAGTGGCATTAGCTAGTGTGCCTCAATGGTTCGATCGCAAGGCAGCCCTTGCGATTGGGATTTCGATGTCGGGCGCGGGTCTTGGTGGTGTGATATTTCCGTTTGTGCTAAGAGCCGGATTCACCAACCTTGGATATAAGTGGACAATTCGATTACTGGCATTGTTGGTACTGGTGATGTCTGTCCTTGGAACAGCTCTGGTCAAGGCACGTCTTCCAAAGGGCAGAAGTAAATCAACTATCAACTTGCGTTCCTTGCAAGATGCAAGGTTTACCTGGTTGACAATGGGCATCTTTGGTGGGTCGCGCTTTCGGTCGGAGATCCGGATAATAGAAACAAGTACTGACTTGGGGTAGCTCTTGAGCTCGAGGTTTTCGCTGGTCTAGGTCTTTATCCAACCTACGTGGTCATGCAGGGGTTTTCTACCAATACCAGTGTCATTCTTCTGGCTGTTCTGAACGTGTGAGTGGTAATGGATGTTGGTGGTCTCTCGAGCGAAGCGCTGACTAGTGTGGCATAGAGCATCCACGGCCGGACGACTGATGGCTGGGGGCGTGGCGGATCGGTTTGGCAGAATCAACACCCAGACTGCACTCATTGCTCTGGGTGCATTCGCAGTGTTTGTGGTCTGGCTGCCGTTTGGAAATTCCCTAATAGGGCTTTATATCTTCTCGGTCATCTTCGGATTGGCTTCAGGATCATTCCTAAGTCTTGCGCCAGCCTGCATCGGGCAGATATCTAAGGCAAGCGAGGTTGGCGGAAGGTTCGGCTTGACATATTCGATTGTTAGCATTGCGTAAGTCTTTCAAATCCCGTTAGTAGTAGTAGTTCCTCGCTAATGGGAACTTAGAACACTGATCTGTATCCCCATCGGCGGTGAGATGCTCGACAAAGTCGGGAAGAGAGCCATGGTGGCATATCTGGGAAGTGTTCTGATAGTGTCACTTGGTTTGTTCGTGATGGCCAGGTGGGCCTGTCTGAGCTACCGGTGGAGGTGGCAGACAAAGATTTAAGAGTTGATGAGACTAGAGAGGAATCTCCTGCATAAAAGTTGATGTTGTATTCCAATTGGTAATAGCGCTAGCTAACAAATTATCGTGAAAAGAGGTTTGAAAATCATTATGA